TAAATCCACACTATGCAGACGAACAGTATTCGTCTTAAACCATTAAAATGGCAACATATATTTCAGAAACTTATATAAACCAAATTCGAAATCTATATTTACCATGAAAGGAATCAAACCCGTCACCTTCAAACAACGACGGCTCCTCAAGATGAAAGGTAACGAGAGGCATGCTTCACTAGTTAGTTGACACTAGGATAGCCATTCGGTTAACGAGTGCATTTTTGTTTTACAGAGATCCCTATGGATTATCACTAGAGCTACGGAGTAAGTGCTCTATAGGCAGGTGGCTGGCCGCTATGCCGAGAGAGACTGGGCTATATGGAGTGAAAGCTGGTCAGAGTCCATCCTCTCGACTTTATCATCTATTTGATGTGCTACACTGTGAGGGCCGCGGGCACTGAGCACCCATGAGATAATTTCTCTTGAGCAGTGATTCCCAAACTATGCGCTGTGGCACCTCGGGGAGCCGAGACATCTTCACGGACGCCTAAAGTATTCGAAGATACACGAGTTTTATTTTCTGTTTGTTTTATCTCTTAAATAGGAATAGTCATACTTTTACTTAGGTTAGGGCGCCGTGAAAAACTTTTAAATTAAAAAAAAACTAAGAACAGTTTGGGAAACATTGCTCTAGAGCAAGCCGGTGAGTTCAGTATCACAGGGTAGTAAATTAAATGCACAACACATCAGATGTCACCAAGGCTTTTTGGGAGCATGTGAATAATGGGGATAATGATTTTTTTTAATCAGTGTCTGAGGAGAATAATCTAACAAAGAGTGACCCGAGGCTCTGATTGACAATGAACACCCAGATGAAACGCAACACGGTTATATGTTCAGAATGACACTTTTGATACTGGATCTCGGCACACGGACAGAGCCATCTTAACACACTTGCCCGGGGGAGGGGGAGAGGGACACCCCACACACCTAAGTGCCCCGTGCTAATCTGTATATGTCAAGTGACTAGCTATAAAAATAAAAGCTAATTTCATTCCTGTGAGTAGTAATCGTTAGTGCCCAGCAAATTGATTTGCCCTTGAGCTTAAAATGCTGGTAAAGAGTCGTTTGACCCACAGGTTGAGAACCGCTGATTTAGAGGATAAACGGAATCAGCTGCAGTTCAGAAAACAAACGTAATAGATGTTTTTATGATAATATAGGAAATGACGTCAGAGTCAACAGCATGCCGCAAGCAAGGTAGACCATCTTCATCGCTAGTATTGTCAACACAGATATCCTCCTCCTCCTCTCCCATACTTCAAACTGACAAAAAGCTAATGGTCGACGTTTGGTGCAGGGGAACCTAGCATATGTTACCATAACACCCAGTTGACAATGAAGGTGGAACGGTCGCTGCAGATTTCCACTGGCTAAAGAACACGATATGCACACAGAAACATACATTATGCTTGTAAGTGACTCTGAAAGCATACCGAGGAAGATGAGGCTGGCATGCTTCGTGCAGAGTGGCAAGCTTCGCTTTGGAGTTTGCATATGAAGAACATTGTCTGAACTATTTATAAGGGGTATACTGGTGTGTTGGGAAATGAACAGGAGGACGGACTGGCTGGGTCTGCACAACTACGTAGAATACTGATGCATCATAAGGCAGGCGTGGTTAAGGCCTTATGGGAGCATGTGTGCAATTCATAAGAGCAAATGGATCATCACAGACTGGTGAGAGTGATGCAGCCAGGAGCGACAGGGGGTCTATCCCATGCTTGACCCTCAGAGGAAAGGCTAACATATGATTAAACTGCTACTTGTACCATGGGGACTGGAGCTCTTCGCTGACTGTTGAGGATGGGGACGGGGCGCTTATGGTGATATCGGTTCTTGATTCAGCTCAGCTCTTCTGAATTAATTCTTCATACAACAACTGACGAACAAGTTGACACAATTACGAAGCCTGCTACATTAGGCCCCTCTCTTCATTTCGTAAATATTCTGTATTGTATAGTGGGTTAGTCGATACCGTTCCAGCATCACAGCAAACGTACTTGGCCCATAATTGCTCAACCGCCTATGCCAGTAATTCCAGTCACAAACTGAGTCAGATACGCTGGAATTCCTTAGCCATACAAGGTGTCCTCAGTCAGCAAAACACACACGATTTGATCTGGCAAACCATAAGGTGCATGCCTCCGTAAACACACTGCGAGACCAGGTGTCATCACTGAAAATTAACATAATTCGATGAAAAGCTTGGCGACAAGTAGATTAAAACTATTCCTGACAATTCTCTACATGTCCTCGGCCAATTTGCAGCCACGACCAGCAAATAAATAGCAGCTATAGCACACGCCTTGTCCCAGGAACACAACGAAGAAAAATACTTAACCCATCATTGCCGTTATGTACGAATCTGGAACTCGATAACCGATAATCACAACTCATAGTGCCGCCAGGAGCACTAAACTCGGTAGCTCCGGCTGCAAACCGGACTTCCACAATTTTACATCATCGAAACTGAAGGAGAAACGGCGACGAGAACGGTCAACATAAGCCAAGTTCTCAACCATCATCCATTCTCTATCAATGTCGGAACCGGAAGAGTATAGTATAGTACCGTTCCATATTTCCGCCAAGCGAAGGAACTATATTATTTCCTGATTAATATGTAAATCGGTAACCGTTCTTCGCCAGCTAGTTCTCGTATGATCACGTTTCCAATTTAATACCGGCATCCCTTATTCAGAAATGTCATTTCCGTAGCTACTTTCTATCTTTGCTGAACTGAATGAACTCTCACAAGTTACGTCTGGTTAAATAGTCCACAAAGGCCAATACCTCCCTTGCTGCGTGACCTCGTTGCTCTGATGTAAACATAACTGCCGTTCGCTGCTTATGTGTATTTTCTCTCTGCCTATCATACCAATGATTGACTCTGATGTACACAAGATCCCTGCCTCATTCTTCCTAACTTATCATACCAATGACTGACGCTGACAAACATACGACTCCTGTCTCATTCCTTTTACCTAGTATACAAATGATCGACTCTAATATTCACAAGATCCCTGCCTCATTCTTCTTAACTATCACACCAATGATTGACGCTGATATACACAAGACTCCTGTCTCATTGTTCTTAATACCAATGACTGACAATAATATACACAAGACTCCTGACTAATTCTCATTACCAGTTAAATCAGTGTGACGGTGATGTACACAAGTTTTCTGACTCATTCTCATTACTTATTATATCAATGATTGACGCTGATTTACACAGGATTCCTGACTCATTCTCCCTGCCATCATACCAGTAATTGACACTGAAACACACACGATTGCTGACCTCTGTTGTACCAATGATTGACACTGATACAAACAAAACTGCTGCTTCATTCTCCCTGCCTATTATACCAATGATTGAAACTGATACACACAAAACTGCTGACTTCTATTGTACTAATGATTGAAACTGATACACACAAAACTGCTGACTTCTATTGTACTAATGATTGAAACTGATACACACAAAACTGCTGACTTCTATTGTACTAATGATTGAAACTGATACACACAAAACTGCTGACTTCTATTGTACCAATGATTGAAACTGATACACACAAAACTGCTGACTTCTATTGTACCAATGATTGAAACTGATACACACAAAACTGCTGACTTCTATTGTACCAATGATTGAAACTGATACACACAAAACTGCTGACTTCTATTGTACTAATGATTGAAACTGATACACACAAAACTGCTGACTTCTATTGTACTAATGATTGAAACTGATACATACAAAACTGCTGACTTCTATTGTACTAATGATTGAAACTGATACACACAAAACTGCTGACTTCTATTGTACAAATGATTGAAACTGATACACACAAAACTGCTGACTTCTATTGTACTAATGATTGAAACTGATACACACAAAACTGCTGACTTCTATTGTACTAATGATTGAAACTGATACACACAAAACTGCTGACTTCTATTGTACCAATGATTGAAACTGATACACACACAAAATGTCCGACTGCAACAAGAAGTTCAGCTCTTTATAAACTGGTGTCGCGACTCATTAGTGAATCGCCTGCAGTGTGAAGATGTGTCGCGGGAACCTAATTTTTGTGTGTGTTCGTATCTATTCTAAAGAGTTAGTTTAGTTTCTGGTTATCTTGTCTGTTATCGTCAGCAACTAAAGGTAGTGGAATTTATTGAGAAAGATATGAGCACTTATCGCCTGAATGGTTCGATGTGCAAAGATAATAATCTGTTAACTAACTAATTAAAAAAACTATCAACACTAGGTACTCAGCTACCAGCAGTATCATCTGTGACCATTTCTGCAATGTTACCTATAGAGTGAAGAACATGTTTTCCACGCCTTTAATAACGTTATCCATGAAATAAATATCATACACGGCCAGTTTTATAACGTTATCTAGGAATCCACATCATACACAGCCAGTTTTGTAACGTTATCTAGGGAATTAAAATCATTAACGATTAGTTTTATAACGTTATCTGTGAAGAAAAAAAAAAAATCATATACGGCCAGTTTTAGTACGTTATCTAGGGAATCAACATCATACACTCTCATTATGACAATGTTATCTTGGGAATCAACATCATACACTCTCACTATGACAATGTTATTTTGGGAATCAACATCATACACTCTCAGTATGACAATGTTATCTTGGGAATCAACATCATACATAGCTAGTTTTATAACGTTATCTAGGGAATCAACATCGTACACGCGCAGTATGATAATGTTATCTTGGGAATCAACAGCAACGACAGCCGATTGTACAACTATGTGAGGAAGAACATCTTCAAAACATACCGTGAATTTCATACAACCAGTCAAGTTGATCTGACTCTGGATCGCTAACTGTTATAACTATTACTCCCTACCCAACGACTAGGACTGAGCTAATTCTCAGTGAACTGATATATTCAAAACACTTGTAGCAAGTCGTGCCAACAAACTACTGATGAACACCTTGACATTTCCACAGGATGAACACCTGACATTTCTCTACGTGCTGTTTGCTCTGATTGTATTCGGTAATCTGCTGGTTATCATAGCTATATCTTTGAACAAGACCAGGAACTCTAGGATGCACATCTTTATTCTTAACTTGGCCATTGCAGGTGAGTGATGATTTATAGGTAAATAGTATGGGGTTTTATGTGCTAATGCTTCTCAATACACCACGACGTAAACTCTTTGAGTCCCAGGGGGTTTAGCATCACAGACCCAGGCGTAGTAAGGGGTCATAAAATCGGCACATCATGCGTTCATTGGGCTTCTAGGTAGGAACGTATGAACGTATGATGCGTTCCTTAGGACTCAAAGAGTTCATGGGTCAAGGGTTGTGTTATGTTAAATTAGAATGGGGTCATCGTTGGCGAATGGCACCAAGGTAACATGTCTGACTGCAACAAGAACTCTCTAGTTCAGCTCTTTCTAAACTGGTGTCTCTACTCATTAGTGTATCGCCTGCAGTATGAAGGTGTGTCGCGCGAACTTAATTTATGTGTGTGTTCGTATCTATTTCAAAGAGTTAGTTTAGTTTCTGGTTATCTTGTCTGTTATCGTCAGCCACTAAAGGCAGTGGAATTTATTGACAAAGATATCAGCACCTATCGCTCATGAGCTACAGCTCATAGCAAATATAAGGGGGTTCCCCAATATTCTGTCCTAGCTTTTTCACGAATTTACTGATTTAGGAATCGACATCACAGCACACAGGGCATACACATAGATGCCCCGTCTTCCCCAGTAAATGCCGTAGATGCTAATTTTCTCCAAGCACATTGATTATACACACATCGTTCTGTTCTTCTTATATGCTCGTCCTTGCCGAATCTACACAGGATTCTTGGTTCACACAATCGTACACATGATGTTTCATTGAATCTCGAGTCTTCTATTAGCATTCGTTTATAAATGATCTTCAGTGCCTATGGTGACATCTCTGCCTAAGTTAGTTTCGTATCCTTAACATGAGCTTACAGAGCCAACCGCAGCCTTTTTTTGCTACTGTAGTTTTTCTAGGCAAATCTTACTATAACGGGCTGGCGGAATAGATTGTCAGTAAGTCGTTAGCATGTTATAGTAATTTTGTTTTGGCTACACTTGTGAGCTCAGACTGGCAGGTTTGCAGCTCGGAACTCTCCAGAAGTGGCCAGTGGGTCGAAAAGTGAATATAAGGCCTGACGGAGAAGAATATATTTTCATGGATCGGCGGTAATGAGAATAGAAACATGTAGTTCTGACTTTTTGTTGCGGGACGTAAAGCGTTCTTAACGCAACCTAGGTTCCGGGGAACTGAGTCAAGAAATGAACTAGCTCGCTGATTTCGTGTTTTGGTGTAATTTACTATTCACGTATTTATCGCCTGGGCCATGAGCAATATTTCATGGTTTCTGCACCTGTAGAGCTCTTGTCTTTTCTCTACTTTTCCTGTTTTTGCAGTCCTGCGGGGAACTACTTATTGTCCTAACCACATTTCTTTTCACGTCTCCCTTCTTGCTTTTCGGTTTTCGCCTCCAGCTAGCTCATTATTTAGTAGTTTGTCATTACCTCTAAACAGTCGATTCTCCTAGGTACCACTGTCAAACCCAACGTTAGAAGTTCTACTGCCAAATCTTCTGCATCTGGGATCGAACCCGGTGTCACGAAGCGCGTTCGCAACCCCTAAGCCACAGATGTCGACCTCCTCTGCATACCATAGATTAATCAAGTAACAGAAAATGTATTGATCGGCACTCATAGAACGAAGTAGAAAGATAGAAGAACACACTAGACAACATAAAAATCGAAAGCTACAGTTACCGTGCCGGGAATTGAACCTGTTACCTCCAGACGGCGTGTGCGCCTCGCCATGGAGACAAGAACATGGTCAACTAGTGCCGATCAATACATTTTCTGTTACTTAAGTAATCTTTAATATTTAACGGCGTCAAAGGTTTCCCCTCTGTTTATTTATTTTCTGCATACCACAGTTAAAGTGGTGGCCAGTTTTGACAAAGTTTTTAACTGCTTGTCCCGTTTATCCATCACACACTGGATACGACTACACATAACCCTGATCGGCTTTGGAAAAAGGGGGACAAATGCTAAAAAAAAGCATTCGATTTTTGCAGATATATGCTAGCGGAGGTAGGTAGGTAGATGGGTGTTTTCTTGGGAGAGAAAAAACCGTCACATTCAACCAGCAATTTTAAAGGGGGAGCTTTAGGTTATATTTTTGACAAAGTTTTCTGCGCCATATAAAATTTGTTAGCATTACATGCCACCAGGAGCCATGAAAGGGACATCTGCAGTATTAATGAGATCAAAGGAGACTGACCCTAATACTCAAATACCGACGACGAAGTCGTTCACCGGAGGGCCATATGCCGACCCGGTCGCCGATGTGCTAACGAACTGACTGACTTTATACCCCACCGGGACATCACAATGAGCGAAAAACACCGCGTGACACAAAGTGCCACCATGTGGATGAGAATTACCCGTGCTAGGTTCCAGAAACCCCGTTCCAGCGTTAGGTTAAATTATGGCCCCTGGCAACAACCAGGGTGGGGCTTCAAAATAACGCAAGATTCGACCCACGTAGGGACGGAGAGCATTAGCAGTGTGCTATCGGAGGGAAGAAGTCGGCTTATATCTAATGTTGGCAAAGGTGTGCCACCCTGTTGCCTAAGAACTTAACTCATATCAAAATAGAGGCCCGTTATGAAAACAGCTCTAAAAGCCACTATCATTCCTACTGTCAACTGGGTAACTGACCTAAAACAGCAGTAAAATTATTATTTATAAAATTGAAACTCTTCAGCGCAGGATATCCACACTCACCATATCTGGAGGGACTCGTTCAGCTTTCCAAGTGTTTACATATGCGAGCAAATATCAAGTGTTAACTTTACCTATTGCCTAAAAGGCCTTTTACAGTAGAACATCGGGAAGAAAGGCCAGAGGAAGACCCAGGAAAAATGGATAGATGGAGTAGCTGAATACGGCCAGAAGATCCAGAAAACTGTCATTCAAATCACGCGAGAGGCACAAAACAAATATTTTAAACCACGACACTGGGCTGCATCCCGGTAAAAGTGAAGAAGTCAATAGATAGATAGAACTTTACCTATGCTTTTGTCCAATTTTGGCATTGGCCGAACAATTTTGTTATAAACATGTTTGTAATAATGATGATGATTATGATGATGATAATAACAACAATAATAATAAAAATAATAGAAATATTACCGATTAAACCATGAATGGCGGAAACTACGAATGTATGTAGATCACCATATGATTTTAACATAAGTATATATTATAGTAACCTGAAGGTCTCTTTTCCATGCCTTTGCTCGTTTTGGGAATATAGGGCATTTGTATATAGGGCATTTTTGTATATCGGCATTTGTAGTAAGCATCATGCCGGCCACCTTTACTTCCCAGGACTACACCTGGTATCCACTCACGTCTGTGTAGACCTAGGAGTCAAGGTCATTTTCGAAAAAAAAAAAAAAGTCCGGCTACGTCAGTACGCGAGCCCAAACCCTTCCGATCCTCAGGCGGGCATCTAGTCGCCCTCGCAATGGCGACTCCCAAGCATATATTATACCATAGTCAAATGGATCGCATCCTAAAAGTAAATATCTTGTTAGTATGTTTATATAAGTCCTGAAAGAGAGAACGTGGAACACTTTACGGGACAAAGACGACTGAAGATTTAATAAAGGCACAATATGGAAGGAGAGTCGCAATGGCATAGCGGTTAGACGCTCGCGTGCGGATCGAATAGACATAAGTTGAAGAACTGACAGAAAAATAGAAGTATATATTAGTGCATTACTAGAGCACAGTCTTCTTTAATTTGTTAGTTTTTTGTTTGTTTAAACCACAAACTACGCTAAAGCCCATTTGTATGGGGATTCACTGTTTCAGATGTCTCTGTTGGCTTGGTGAATGTCTTAACAGACATCGTCTGGAAGAGCACCGTAGACTGGTATGCAGGAAACGCTGGCTGTAAAATCATACGCTATTGTCAGGGTGTGGTCACCTACGCTTCCACGTATGCCCTAGTTGCCTTAAGCCTGGACCGTCTCAACGCCATAGCCAGACCACTAAGTTTCAGCGCTGACAGTGAGTATAGATGTTCTCTTCATTGTGACTGGGTTAGAAGCGTGTCTGCATGACTGAAGGTCTGTGGTTCAAATCCTCACATCCTCTTGAATGGGACTATTTTTCTTTGTATGGTGACTGATCTTGTTTCCTATGTTGCTCCATTCTAAATGGCTGTTAGAAAGTATCATGGAAAGTAAAGACGGTCGGCATGGCTTTGACCACTTCATGTATCGAGTGCGATTTGGTCTATAAAACTGTTGGTATAGCGCTACATTCCCGATACGTCACCGGCATACAAAGTTCCATTTGCTTTTAGTACTTACATTGTGAATTTGTTGATAGCCAGTATTAATATTTTTGATGCTATGCTGTGGTAACGCCTGGCATGCAGCCAACAGCGTTGGGGGCATCGATTGATCGATCCGTTTGTCACTTCCGTTCGGCTATCTTGAGGTTTACTATAACATCCTGAGATAAAAAGTCTTCATCTAGACGGCAGACCAAAGACGTTGATACCAGAGACGTTATAACCTTTAAAGAAGCTATACTTCGGGCACGCTTCAGACGGATTGGACAAATAGAACTTGTTGACGCAGCACATGTACTAAATATGACTTTATATTGTCTTTATAGATTGGATACTTTTTTTTTCTCATAGAACGCCGTATCAAAGTTCTGATTGGTCTGGCTTGGGCCTTGGCATTCGTCTTCTCCACCCCCATGCTGGCCATCAACAAGCTTATGCTGGTCAACGACAAGTGGCAATGTTGGATACAGTTTCCCGAGCCTTGGTTTTGGAAGGTATTAGGTTTGTGTCTTACTTTTAATGTTAGACGAAGCCGCTCTAGCGGATGCTTTTTCTTCCGCAACTGACATGGTTCTTAGGTCGACGCAACCTAAAATGGGTACCAGGTCATATCCTGGGACCACATCAATCAACGACTACTGATTGATTTATAAACATATAAGTTTGCATCATATGTCCGCCCTTATAAGACTGCTGGGCACACTTGGCTGTTGTCCTGGTTACAAGTGCCATACTTTGAGCTTCTACTAGGCTTCGTGGTCTCGAGGCATGGCGTCCGCCACGAGTGCTGAAGGTCCCGGGTTCAAGCCCCGATGAAGGCTGGAATTTTTCACGTGAACTTCCAGTTATCCCCCCTGGTCTCTGGGTAGTAATTTCTGTCGCCTGTGTGTATTGCTGCGCAATTGCTTGGCAATTTGAGATCGAAAAGAGTAGCCTAACGGCGCTGCCCGGGCAAAATTTGGAGTTGAAAAATCTCCCTGAAGTATTTCAGGATCCTCACCGGTGCTACAGTTCGTGAACTGTGCTGAGATTCTTCGAAGAAGAAAAAAAGCACCACGACTTTTTACGTCCTGTTTATACTTTCAGCTTAACAGGACTAGCATCGCCATTGTCTTATTTTTATTTTCCTGCATACTTAACCATAAAATCTGCTGTCTTGTTTATACTTTCAGCTATATGTGACCACTAAATCTGCTGTCTTGTTCATACTTTCATCTATATGTGACTACTAAATCTGGGGTCTTGTTTATGCTTTCAGCTATATGTGACCATTAAATCTGCTGTCTTGCTCATACTTTCATCTATAGGTGACCAATAAATCTGCTGTCTTGTTTATACTTTCAGCTTTATGTGACCACTAAATCAGCTATCTTGTTTATGCTTTCAGCTTTATGTGACCACTAAATCTGCTATCTTGTTTATGCTTTCAGCTATATGTGACCACTAAATCTGTTATCTTGTTTACACTTTCAGCTATATGTGACCAATAAATCTGTTGTCTTGTTTATACTTTCATCTATATGTGACCACTAAATCTGTTATCTTGTTTACACTTTCAGCTAAATGTGACCACTAAATCTGCTGTCTCGTTTATACTTTCAGCTATATGTGACCGATAAATCTGCTGTCTTGTTTACACTTTCAGCTATACATGACCAGCATCGCCGTTGTCTTGTTTTTCTTCCCCGCCATCATTATTGCCGTCTGCTACATTATCATTGTTATCATCATCTGGAAGAAAACGATAATGAGAGGAGCATCCGTGGATCACACAACCCAGTACGTCAAAAAAGGTAAACTCGCTTCACCGCACAAAGTGTCTGTCTTCATGTGTTTTGTTTTTTTCTTCAGTCCTAAAAAATGAACAAGATTGTGAAATGTACACAACACACTTCGCTGCCATATGTGTATGCAAGTCAAGAACTGCCCATTTAGACGGGCAGTGATGTCTTCTTATGTCTACTAACCCAACATCCCATATTGTTCCAACGGCGGAGGTGCACATTAGGAAGGATACTAGCCTTATCCCAGGAAGAGAAAATTCAAACTGAAAACTTTGTGTTATGGCAGGGCAGACCAGGCCCTTCGCCTTCGCTGGCAGCTGGTATAGGAGGGAAGCTCTGACAGGCGGACAGATAGAGCACTGCTCTTCTGATCCGGCAACTTCTGCAACCTGTCTCGTTCCAAACGTACTGGTTTTTACCTTTCCTTTGGAGTAAACAAGGCAGGTCGAGGGAGGGATCATTATGCATGGGCAAGATATGGTCTCTACAATACTGCCCAGGTTTTATGCTATGAATCGCCATGGGCTGTGAGTCCCCTGTCTCCTCATAGCGCAAAATAACACTATCGTCTGGAAAGACGGAAAGGTACCAATGATGGATTTGGGCATAAGATAAATAAGCTACAGTTTATGGTCTCACATCTCTAGGGGACCTCAAACATATCTTTTGTTGTTGTTGTTGTTGCTGCTATAACTCGGCGTGTCTTTTAACAACATAATTATTGATTTTACATGTAAGAAATCAGGGGAACACAAGTTTTTTTAAATTGTAAACGTTTTAGAGGATTATATGTAATTTATGTGATTTTGGAAAGATATTTTTAAATATTTATTTAAAAAAAAAATTAAACGACAATATATTCCACTATCAATTTCTTTGAAAAGGTGTTTACATTTTAAATTCTTCTGAGATTATTTGCTATAATTTAAAATAGTAGGTAGCCAAATATTAGGCAGAGAAAAACCACGATGAGTTACTAACACCACAAGAAGGACACATAAGGGTGAGTTAAAACCTCTTTTCTCATATCTATAGAATACTAAATTAGAACCAGCAAGATAGAAAACATCGCATGAACAAATACCAAGTAAGAACGAGCTAAAGAACAAGAAGTAGTTCAGAAAGACCAAAGATAATCTCAAAATAAAGGAAGCAGGACAGTGCACAGAACAAAAGCGTTTCAGATCAAAGGACAAGAGGTGAAAATTTGAGCCCTACCCAGTAAGACTATAAAATAATCTTGAAAGCATCTTTAGGGAAAATAAATAATAAAGGGAAAGGATAATTGCCTTCTAATCAAGTATCAACTCTTTTTTTCTTTTCTAATATTCAAGTATCAACTCTTCTTTTCTTTTATATTTAAGTATGAACTCTTCTCTTCTTTTATATTCAAGTATTGTGGCGGGTAAATTCGCTTTACACTAGCGAATGCACTATGTGCAATTTACAGAGGGAATTACAAACAGTGAATCATCATAGAGGTTTATATTACCCCCAGCTCTGATGGTTAAATCAGAGGATTCAGGGTTTGCCCACATTTGATTTCCTACTGTTATTAAATTGTATATTTAAATGTATTAAATTATACTTGCTTTTTATAACTGACACAATTATTACAGTTAAAATGAAACTCCATAAAAATGTAGGAACATTAAAACTATAACATTTATTTGGAAAATTCTAGCTAATATTTAAATTGGCTGTGGAGATAAAATCCTTTTATATGGGGTTGGTAGACAAATCTGTCCACTTAGCTGTAGCTTGCGTTTCTTTGGTTAGCTTCTAACTAAGCCTCGGAGACACATCAGGCATTCTGAATCGTCCAGTCCAGACAATCGGGCATCTGCAGCTACGCTGGGATTTACTTATGGAACTTCCACCTGGAACTACCATCTGGAACTACCATCTGGAACTAGAACAATATAAACAGTTTGGAAAGCTCTCACTGGAGACAACAGTGCCTCCAGTTCTCATATAACGTTAGACTGCCCACATATGTATGGAATAGGATAGTAACAGGTGTTCACATTCTAATGGTATAGAATGGGAATGTTTACAAAACATGGTCCATAATCCTGATCGGGAAATATTTAGGAAACATCAGTTTCATGAATACTCTCTAGCCCAGTAGTTTACATCACACAAAAAGAAAGAACATTCATCAGTGTAAATTGTTCTGATGTCTTTACAATAGTGAGGGGTTAACATGCTTACACACACAGTCACATTTCACGATAGGCTCATTTCAACCACATAGGTTCACATCACAAAGAATGAGAATCAGGGAGTGAGTTTACATGCGCCGAAAACTCATAACAGGTGCTTTGCATCTTAAAAATAAATGGGATTGACATATCTCCATCAATATAACTGGGTGCTGGGATAGATGTCAAAATATAACCATAGATGACAATGGGCTTTCCATCTGTAGAGTAATAACATAAAATATACAACACTCACTCCAGTTTAAATCTAAATCCACATGTGTGATAACATCTTAGTCAGCAGAGTTTGGAAGTTGTGAGGGGTGAAATATAATTATTAATATTGTAAGGCCACCTGCTGTAGAACTGAAATATATTCCTAGTAATGGGGAAATATATATACAACAATAATAATTACAAGCATGGGGGATACATATCTCTTCTTCTTCTCCGACAGTGTGAATATTAAATTTAGCCCCCGTGTTATTCACTTTTTCAAACTCTTAAACCAGACTCAGAATTATCTGGACTAAATCTAAATTAAAGCCATACAGTGATTTATCAAGCTAATATCACCATTGGGTAAAATCAACTTAGTAAGGATTAGGTATAATATATATACACTTCATTCCTTTTTTAATTGTCTCACCATTCTGGAAACTGGAAGTGGCCGAGGTTTCACACGAGGACATAAATTCTCCTTTAATTAATATAATTATAATAATTAAAAATACCAATGCACGTTTTTAGTATCAAATAAACATTATTTCAATCATCAACTAGATCATATGTTTGCATACATGTATATACTAGATTATAAACGTGTTTAGTCAGGATAAGGGAATTCACAATGATTTCTCCCACCATGTGGGCATCAAATTTCAGTGTTTAGCAGATAAAATTAATTCAGAGGAATTGTAGCAATAGATCAAATTAAACTAATTTTATTAACTCACCCCTGGTAGGGAATTCAAACAGAAAATTGGACCACAGGCTGACTAACAACTTTAGTCTGAACTGGTTAATTTCTGATTTGAAAAGGAAATAGGAAGTCCTTCAAAAGGAGGAAGTAACTCTTGAGTTACTCCTTGCACTACTCATCATCTAATTCGCCTTTTAACTTCTTAATTATTTAAGTATTATTAGGGCTAATAGAAAGCAATAAAGAAATGTTTACAAATTTGATAATAGTATTACTTGTACACAGCAATACTTAAAAGGGTTGAATCAGCTGTCCAGACCAGCTCGTCACAAGTATGAACTCTTCTCTTCTTTTATATTCAAGTATCAACTCTTCTTTTCTTTTCTAATATGCAAGTATCAACTCTTCTTTTCTTTTATATTCAAGTATGAACTCTTCTCTTCTTTTATATTCAAGTGTGAACTCTTCTCTTCTTTAATATTCTAGTATCAACTCTTCTTTTTTTTTCTAATATTCAAGTATCAACTCTTCTTTTCTTTTCAAGAATTAACTCTTCTCTCTTCTCTTCTTGTATATCCAAGGATCAACTGTTCTGGTAATTTCTCTCAAAGAAATGAATGGCCCGAGTTCAGGGATGTGGATCCTCAACTCAGCTGAACACTGAATGATAAATTTGGAAACAGCGACCCCACATCTCGCCACTAAAAACGAATATTTGAAAATACGCACATATGCTATCTTTAACCGCACCTTCCCCAAAGACTTTATAGACTAGACTACAGCCTATCTGTTAATCATGAAGCCAGATATCATTGCTATCCCACACCATACCATGCCCTCCGTAGACAGTTGCTAAAGCAATTGCCCACATAAAGGAAACCTCTATTTCTGATTGAATCTATATTTATGGCCTCATCTCCTCGTGGTGAGTTTGGCGATGGCGTGTTCTTGCAGATCCACAAAAGCCAGATTTGACCCAATTTATGTAGTCAGACACCAAATGTGAATTGGTGCTTGTATCATAGATCTGTGTATTGCAGGCTGATTGTGCTGTTTGGGAAGAGGTGGGAGTCTAAAAAGGATTTTTAAATGCATTTCTTGATGATATGGGATGATGAGGAGTAGGCGAAAGAAGAAGAGGAAGAAGAAGAGGAGGAGGAGGAGGAGGAAGAAGGTTGAGGAAAATGAGGAGAAAGAGGAGAAACACAAACAGAAAGACGAGGACGAAAATGAGGAAGCAAATAAAAGCAATAAAAATATATCCCCATAAACTTGTCACACAATTAAACTGTCATGAGTAACAATTTTTCAGAGTTTAAAATATAATTTAAAGCTCGCTCTTTGCTTATTTGCTACATACGTAACAAAGCATATCTCACTAGCTGAACAGAATGGTGGGTTATTTATCCTTTGCTGACCACGCGGCCTTGCATTTTAACCAAGTCATAGATGAATGGTGTCTGCTTTGCGAGGTAATAATAAAACCAGTCTCATTATTCAATGGCCCTATAATATATATATATATATATATATATATATATATATATATATATAAAGACCGTCGAGTGAAACCCGAACCAATGGCTTTATTCAAAAAGCGTAAAAGGAACATCAGCAGTTTGGTAGCGTTAAACAGATCGTTCATTTTGAATTAATTACTCATCGGGTTGGCTATGAAAACGTCATTGTAGGCATTCAGGTTGCGTATTCTTTACAGGACGTTGCAGAACCAACCCCAACAGCCCCTGGCTGTTGTGTGGTTTTTCTAGGCAAATTTACGTCCAGTAGTTTGCCAGTGCTTTCTGTACGGTCTGCTTTCTTGATACCACTGTCGAAACCAACGCAAGGCGCATGGCCTGCAGCTGGGATCGAACCCTGCATCCCGGCATTACGAAGCGTTCGCATCGACTTAGCCACAGAGCCGACAGGCATTCCGGCAAGTTCTATTGCTTAGGTAGGCGGTGAATGCTGTCCGCAAAAACACAAATTTATTGTGCTCGCTCACTAAACCAAGTGTTTACTGAATGCATTAGGTCTGTATTTATGTGAAATCGTTCTCCCTGGAGTGCGTTTTTGGTCCGAACAAATGAAAATCCCATTGTGACCATTTTTTACTGTAGGATGCATCCCACAGAATTCCTCCTTTCCATGCTAACGCTTCTTGCACAATCTTTGCAGTCTGATAAAGAGCATGATAGTGCAAAAGTCCACACCGCGAGAAAGCATAGGGGACGTTTATTCTTGGTGGTGTACAGCTTTTCTAGAGATTCTAAGAAGTTGGTAAGAATCGATTTTGACACCAGATTCAATAAAGTCTGTAGCCCGTCATGAAAAAAAAGAAAAAAAAACCCAAAATAAATTTAACATCGCAAACCTTTAAATTGACGCGCCCCCCCCCCCCCCCCCACACACACACACATACCATCCCGTTTAGTGAATCATACTTGCTTTCTATTTTACTGTTCAGCTCAGGCAACATCTGTGGTACTCACTGTAAATACACGTTCCATATTGAAGTTTCTTACGAACGGCGTTTTGAACTTTCCCAGTTGACACATGGAATTCTCCACGTAGTGAACGAATGCCGCCAATTTACTGTCCGCAGTCCATAACATTGTTGCAATCAACGAAAAATGTTCTGCCTGCCGAATCACCTGCAGCTGGAATGAAACCTGAGTATTTCAGAATTTCAACCATGTTCACAACCTGTAAGCGACAGACGCTACAATTATTTTCTTTGACAGGGACACCACTCTGCGGGGCCAGGAAAGCTGTCAGGTTACGGGATTGTGTTTCCAGTTCTAGCGGAGTTATCCCACGAGCCAAGATGAAAACCATTAAAATGACGCTGGTTATTGTATCGGGTGAGTGTCTCTTTGTTTAGTTTCAGGGAGAAGTAGACAACAAAATGTCACTCCTTCTGCTGCTCCTCCTTTTTGAGGAGCCTGCGCGCCCCGTTTTTAACCCTTTCAACATCAAGTCTGTTCGTTCATTTGTTCGATCGTACCCCTTCTTCTTCTCAGGCTTGCTCGTCTGCTTCTTCAACCATGCAGGAGACTATAGTCCCTTCACAAACTCACACAAAACCCTTTCAATGCGGGTGTTCTAGGCAACTAGCGTGCAGATTATAAAGCCGACTGCAAATACTTCGACTGGACCGGCACCGGACAGGGGCGATCTCAGCACTGCTAGTGAGATACATATCGGGAAGATGATTACATGGCAATCTACTGCAGTTATTAGATGGTGTTGCTGTAATCGGTTACCTAATCATATTTAGGCTTTCCTCCGAATTACGGTCCCAAATTATCGAGGCCGACAACAGGGCCTCAGTCACGTGTCACTTGCGCACTTCCGGCGATTTAAATTGCGCACTTCCGGCGACTTCTCTCCCCCCCCCCCCCCCCCCCCCCCCCCCCGCTGAGAGTATCCCCCAGATAGTATGCGCACTTTCGGGAGCTATACCGCCACCGCCGAATTGCGAACTTCCGGGGACTACACCGCCACCGCCAAGGGTTCCCCATACGCCGCTCACGCGGCGTGGATTGGGGATAAACTAGACGGCTGGGACTCCCGAGCAGCAGCTACCGCATCTCTGGCAGCTTCCTTCATTTTTTTTTTTTTTTTTGCTCGCGAGTCCCAGCCATCTAGTTTAGCCCCAATATAAGCCGCGTGAGCGATTTAGGGGATACTCTCGGCGGTGACGGTATAGTCCCCGGAAGTTCGCAATTCGGCGGTGGCGGTATAGTTCCCGGAAGTCTGCCATTGACATGTGACTGAGGCCCTGTTAGGCTTTATTTTTGGCCTCCATAATTTGAGACCGTTATTCGGAGGATAGCTTATATTTATTTATTAAATGGGGATTAAACGGGGCATCTGGGATTATTTACAGTTCACTCGTAAATTTATTTGTGTTGTGTATACGTGACAAAATAGACAATAGGCAGACAGGTTAACAAACATCTAGTATGCATAGAATATCATGGAGCAGAGATGACAAATCTTGTAGTTCTCTAAGAGAGAGAGAGAGAGAGATGAAAACCGTCATCTGATCACATGCATTTCAAAAGATGTAGATAGTTGAGATTTCGATGGAAACGTCAAAAAGAAAATAACTTGAAAACTTAGTGACCAGCTGACACACGATGGAAAAGAGCAAACAAAGATTCATTAACTCTTTCGGAACCAGGAAACTCACAATCGGTTCTTTAGCTACTTTGTGTAAATTTCGCCTTTCTTTACTCTTTCTGTTTAGTTCTTTTGCTTTGCTTACCTATTTTATTTTAGTTGTTACTATAACTTTCTTATATGTCTGAAAAAGGGGTGGGGGGGGGGGGGATGTGAAGGACATCAGTAGCCTCTTCTGCCAGTGGTGAAACGTGGCAGCCTAGCTTGGTTCGGGCACGTAGTAGTGAGACATGATTCGATAACACAAACTATTTGCACGGAACACCTGGTGTGTGTGTGTGTGGGGGGGGGGGGGAACAAAGAAGAGGGGGTAAAGAAGAACCTGGAATGATACACCGAGAAATGGAAAGGACTAATTATACACTTGTTCAACAAGCGGAAGAAAAAGATGGCAGATGTTGTACGCTAGTGCTTTTATCGGTTTAGCTCCATGACAGTAAGGACTCAGAGGTTCTGTCTGTCTGTCTGTCTGTCTGTCTGTCTGTCTGTCTGTCTGTCTGTCTGTCTGTCTGTCTGTCTGTCTGTCTGTCTGTCTGTCTGTCTGTATGTCTGTCTGTCTGTCTGTCTGTCTGTCTGTCTGTCTGTCTGTCTGTCTGTCTGTCTGTCTGTCTGTCTGTCTGTCTGTCTGTCTGTCTGTCTCTGTCTGTCTGTCTCTGTCTGTTTGTCTTTGTCTGTCTGTTTGTCTTTGTCTGTCTGTTTGTCTGTCTGTCTGTCTGTCTGTCTGTCTGTCTGTGTCTGTCTGTTTCTGTCTGTGTCTGTCTGTCTGTGAGTGTGAGTATCTGTGTGTGTGTCTGTGTCTCTGTCTGTCTGTGTGAATGTGCGTGCGTGCATGTGTGGTGTGTGTGTGTATATGATGAGAAACATTTAGTGCCGTGTGGGCTGAAGAGCATGTCTACTTGTCTACATATTTATGGACTAAACCGGTTTATCGCGGTCGCTTCTACTAATCTCAATAATCTACGGTTGGCTGAAGTCTAAATAATTCGAAATATAGTCAATTTTCTGTTTCATTTCGAAGGATTCATTTATTTGCGTCATGTTAGTCAGTTGACTGCCCAACGTTTAAGAATGCTTGGTTCTAATTCTGGAAACCCAAATTGAGCAGATTTCTGAATGTTTAAGAATGCTTGGTTTTTATTTGGGGAATCCCAAATTGAGAAGATTTTCGAATATATTTAAGAAGGCCTGTTTCTTATTCGGGAAACCCAAATTGAGCAAATTTCCGAATGTTTAAGAACGCTTGGTTCTCATTCGGGAACACCCCCCCCCCCCTTAAAAAAAAGCAGATTTCTGAATGTTTAAGAATGCTTGGTTCTTATTCGGTAAACCCAAACTGAGCAGATTGCCGAACGTTTTAGAATGCTTCGCTCTCGTTTGTGAAACCCAAATTCGAATCACTGTTAAGGTGATCGATTTTTTTCTATCGGGGGTGGAAGCAACTAGAATGTCCGTGTTGACAGCACTAGCCATGCGTCTCTGAATTAAGATGACGGGAATATCTTGAGCTAAAAACAGGATTTTACTCTAATATGCTGAGCTGAAAACGAGACATAAAAGAATTAAGTCTTTTACGGACCCCCTTCCCCATCCATCCGATTTTAAATTGTATGTACATGTAGTTGCGAAGTCTACTGTGTCCTGTTCTAAGGCGTAGAATGAATAATAACTTGCTCTGGTCTGTCCATAAAATGGTGAAAATATGGGGGCGACTGCAGTCAAGCTAATACAAGGAATTCCAGAGAAATTTGACTAAAAAGCTCAACAAAATGGGGAAGCAGAAAAAAAGGGCAAAACGTAACGTTTCGACCAGGCGGCCTTTTTCAAACATAAGTGAACTACACAAACATAACAACGAGGAGATGAGAGTATGTAGGGGTGACGTGAGCAACGTTTAAAAAAATGTGGTGTGGAATAAATGAATTAAAATAAAACAAACGATAGCTAAAAAATATAGTCACAAAAATAATAAACAGTAGTATTGTTAATATATAATATAATACTGGGTATAAAAGAAATACAAATGTTAACGATACATAAATGATACTGACTGATAAGAAATAGAATAAAGTAATAATATGGAATAAAATAAAAATAATCAACATATAAAATGTCATAAGAGTAGAACTATTTAGATGAAGGTATGTTGGATATTGATACCACCTGGACTAAGAACGCCTAGGCTATGGATTAGGCGATGTTCTAAAGCGAGGCGCATGGTATGATCACCAGAGCAAGATTTTAATGCTGTGACAGATATATCATCTTTACCTCTGTGGTCAGAGCTATTAAAAGGGAGAGGGATTGGTTTAAGTGTCTTTTTGTTAATGTCGGAGAGGTGTTCCCGGAAACGATCAGCTAGCTTCCTGCCAGTTTCCCCAATGTATGCCTTGCTGCATCGTTTGCAGATAATTGCATTAATTACGTTGCGGGATTCGCAAGTAAAAGGTTCCCTAATTTGGAAAGAACCATTAGGGAAACTGACCGAAGAAGTCTGGACAACAAAAGGGCATGTCTTGCACGTGCTGCGTAAGCATTCAGTACTCCCAAAAGGAAGTGCTGTGTGGATGGGATGAGTACCATAAAATGGTACTCGTCTTGTGCCGGTTTTGGTGGCCCTCTGATTGCATTGATTATTGGTACGTCAGGTTAATAACTCACTCCGTGTTCAGGTGCATGATTGTGAGACTAGATACCCTACCCACAATCCTGAGCTTAAAACTCTGCCTGCCCTACAAACTCTGCCTGCCCTACACCCCTATATAGTGGTAAATCCGGCCAGTATTGACTGTTTTTAAAAGTGTTTATTTCTGTTGGCAGTGTTTGTTTTCTGTTGGTCTCCTTACTTCATCTACGACCTGCTCAGCGTCTACGAGTTCATCCCATCTAGCCAGGATATCATTGCACTGTCCACGTTCATCCAGAGCTTGGCACCGCTGAATTCGGTGGCCAATCCAATCATTTACGCCAGCTTCAATACCAAGACTTGTGTCCAGTTTCTCAGGTAACTGTTTCTGTTGTCCATTCCTCGTGTTACCGTAGCAAAGATAAGTAACTGATGATTAATTACACCGTTGCCAAGACCTGTATCCCGTTTCTCATGTAACTCTTTCTTTTGCCCATTACTCATGAACTGTAACATAGATAAGAATTGATCAATTTCAGCTTTAATAGGGAGCCGCGTTAGCGCAGTCGATAGGAAACTCGCTTTTAAATCCAGCTGTGACTCGCTGCAAGCACGGTCGGTGTTCGCAACAGGGCGGTTCCCGGGGTTCACCCAGCAACTAGGCCATAGGTACCAGAGAGACACTCTGGAGTAAATGGAGGAACGTCGCTGTAGCTAAGAATTACGTGCGGATGGCGACACAGGCAGACAGTTTCTTATCAGCTGTCCGTACTGGTGGCAGAACACTTATGGTTTATAACCGTGTGCAATTACGCTGGTTCACATCTCCTGACTTTACCTCCAGCTTTAATACCAGTACCTATGTAACAGTTTTATCTTGTGCATTCCTCGTGTTACAATAACATAGATAAGTAACTGATCATTTAGTTCAGCTTTAATGCCAATACCCATGTAACAGTTTTATCTTGTCCATTCCGCGTGTTACAATAACATAGATAAGTAACTGATCATTTACTTTAGCTTTAATGACAAAAC